TGGCTGCGTTACTGAAACCACGCCTTCTTTCTTTGCGTGCACATTTGGGCGGCATTATGCAAATATTTCCACATAGTGAGGTAGATATGTGGGGGCGTGTTAGAACGAGCCGTTTTAGGGGGGCGTGGCAGAGTCTTAACTTTGATAAAGAATATCTCTTTGGTTTTGAGACTTTAGTCTTTGCAACTTCAAGGATCTTATCTATGCAAAATCAGGTTGTAACACTCCAAAGAGAAAGGAAAACTTGAAATCGCATCATATGACCCCTTTAAGTAAACCACTGGGCAGAAAATGTATCGATTTAAGAGAAAAGCTCAGATTGGGTGATTTAAACTATTGACATCTGGCAGCTTGTGGAGGCTTGTTACCAATGCAAGATAATGTAAGTGGCATATTAAAATGAAAAGTTTGCAGGATAAATAACCAACAGTTAAATATTGCAGATGATTATGCTTAATAAACTGAAAGAAGGAGAAATCGTGATCCTGATCAAAATGCGGTTTATCGCGCAGCCCGACTATCGGTCTAAACTTTCTTTTTCTAATATAATTTGAATAGTATATCAGTTATATAACGTAATAAAGTAGATGTGGAACAAAGTGCACAACCGTCATGTTTCTTGCCTCCTCAGTGGACATCTCATGTGATCCTCCGTTCCGTTTCCGCTGTGATAACACCCGCTGCATCTACAGTCACGAGCTCTGCGACTCTATAGATGACTGCGGTGATGGAACCGACGAGAGGCCGGAGCATTGTGAGTGACAGCCAATAGATTGTTAACCAAATATACTATTTACCTATTAAACCCTTTTAATTCCCTAAATTCTATTGAAGTTAGTAAAACACCCTGTTTTGTGTGAATGACTCCTCAGGTGTGACTCCCACACATGGGCCCTGCTCTGCAGACGAGTATAAATGTGGGAACGGTCAGTGCATTCCTCTGCAGTACGCCTGCGACGACTACGACGACTGTGAAGACCAGACTGATGAACTCGGCTGCTGTGAGTTTTGCTCATTCACTCACCCTCATGTTGTTTATTTTCTTTCTTGCATAAACAAAAGTGGAGCAAGCTCCAAAAACTACAAAAAAAATCTTAGAGCTCTAGATCCTTTTGCCTGCACATCTTTGTAACATTTCTTCATCTGTCTCTGTTAGACTACGGCCATGGACGCACATGCAGTGAGAATCTGTGTGAGCATAACTGCACAGATTTGTCAACCGGAGGCTTCATTTGTTCCTGTAGACCTGGATATAAACCCAACCCGGAGGACAAGAACAACTGCAATGGTTTGTGGCGTTGTCTGAATACCGTATTCATTAGAAAATCTCAATATTTACTTCTTTATTGGAAGACAGGCTTATAGTGGTGCTACAGAAGCCAAACAGGACAACAGGAACTCAGTCATTTATGACACTTCATTCTACAAAAACAACAGCTCGTTCATTACGCCATTTCTGTCATTGCACATGTGCAGTACTTTCCAGTTTCCGTATTCAATCCGATCAAGAGTTTAGGAGCTCAGTCGGATCGATTAAGGTGTTTACATGAAGCCTTTTCAGTCTGATTGAGCCATCAGTCCAATTACCAGCGGATTATTTGGTTGCATGTCAACGTAGCTAGTGTTGCAAAGTTCATCAGTTATAAAACTAATTCCATTCATCTATAAGCAGCTCAGCAGATACAATAGTATGATTAATTAGCTCAAGTCAGTTCAGTGTTATATTAGTACCACTGAGATAATATTATAGTTTGTATTAATATTTTGAATTAGGTTTATTTTTGCATTTTAATTTTAGTTAAATTTAGTTGTGTGTTTCATTCATTTTATTTCAGTTATTTTTAGTACATCAAGTTAAACTAAATTCTAAATTCTGAGAAATTTTGCCTTGGCAACTAGCTGAAAAAAAAAAGTTTCGTTTTTTTGTGTTTTATTTTATTCCAGTTAACGATTATTTTAATTAAAAAATGTTTGTATGATTTTGTTTTCATTTTAGTTTCACGTAATTATAATAAACCTGGGTTCAATTCAGTTCAGTGACAGTGTTGATGTTGGAAAGTTCCTCAATCACAAAGACAAATTTGATTCAGCTATAAAGCAGCGTTACAGAAAATGATCAGTTCGTTTTTCATTCTGTCCTTGGCATGGAATCTTTTCTGTCTGCGTGAAAGCAACACAAGAAGTGCGCAGCTATGCCTGCACACAACTTCGAGACAACATTGGCACACCATTAGAAGTTGAACTGCTTCCTGTATGTATAATGTGAGGTGTTTTCTGCCCGTCTGCAGATGTGAACGAGTGTGAGATTTACGGGACGTGCCCGCAGCTGTGCAGGAACACTAAGGGCAGTTATGAGTGTTTTTGCGCTGACGGGTTTCGATCAGTGGGAGAGCAGCCGGGAGTCGAATGCGCTGCTGAGGGTAAGGCCTTTCAATCTGAAATTATTTATCCTCTTTTTTTACCTTCTATAGCCTAAAACTTGAAAATTTGACGAACATTGGTAAATATGAACGTACCTTTAGAAGTCATAGATGCAAACTTCTCACCTTTCAGTGACAACTCACTTTTTTGAGATCAAAATGAGGGCGGGGGGGTTCTTGCAAGGGTACTTGTGATCTTACAAGGGTAAATAAAGAACTGGGACTGGTTGCATAAACTGTTTAAACTAGTCTTAAAAAGTTAGTCATCTAATTTTTTTCTTCAAGACTGGCCATAACTTTTTAAATTCAGTTATGAAAAGGTAGATTGGGCTTATTTGCATTGAAAAAAGTAAGACTGATTTCTCCTTGGCAACTGCTAGTTGGTCAAACTAGTTCTTAAGACACAGTCTTAACATGGTGGCTATGGAACTGGCCCCTGGTTGATTCAATAAGTTTTGTATAGTATCTTCTTTACTCTTTACTTCAAAAACTATGTCTAAAAAGGGTAATATTGTATGTATTTGAGGTCTGAGATGTGGGAACGTGAGAGAGGGCAAACAATTTGCAGTTTAGCATAGCATTTCCGTCTAATCAGACAATATTGTCTTAAAAAGCCTGTGCATAGCACTTAATCTTTTATTATAAGAGGTGAAGTGAAAGAATAGACGTGCTAGCTTTTCACGATGCTCGAAATATTGAAAAGAAAATTCAAAATATTGAATTGAGGGTGGGGGTTTATATAAATGTATCTCTGAGGGGACCCTTTTATGTCTTCATAAAAGTTTCTATGGCATTCTTTTACAGCGGTAACCAAGGAAACGCTATATTGTGGCTGTTCCATAAGCGCCACCTGCTGTCAGAGAGTGAATTAGCATTTTTAGCATCATTTCACAAAGCTAAAATCAGCCTTAAATCTTAAAATGATGCAGTTTATTTACATTTTTAAAAATGCTCATGCTTACATTTAGCATCTTTTTTGTAATGCATTGCCGTCTAATCAGCCAATATTGTCTTAAATAGCCTGCATAGCACTTCATCTTTTATAACATGGGATTTCAACCAAATAAATTTAATCTTGATTTTTGTAAAATGTTGCATCAAGATGTTTTTTTTTTTGTGTGAAAAATTACAGTTTATAAAAATTACAGGTAATAAATAAATATTATATATATATATATATATATATATATATATAAAACAAAAACAGTTATTTTAAATATTGTTATATTGTTTTTCTGTATTTTTGATCAAATAAATACAGACTTGGTGAGAATAAAAGACTTCTTTTGAAAATCTTACTGACCCCAAACTTTTGACTGATAATATACAATTTTTCTACAAAGAACTTGGAGCAAAAACATTTCTGCAAGATTGTTGAAGGATAGTTAACATATTGACATTAACCTTTTTAACAGTACAGTTGTTGTTTAACATTTCTATATCGGTATGAAGGAAGAAAA